CATCTCATACTTTTCTGCCTGTAGCAATGGTGTTACATATCCTTTGTGCTTCCATGTAATTTCTTATTTCTCTTTGAACTATCTGCCTGAGTGAGCTAACATCATTGTGGTGGGCCAGAATACTGCGGGACCATTTATTAAATTGTCAATAACGGTTTCGGGGGATTATCATTACCTTTTAAGTCTGTTTGAACATGGTTGACCAAGAGGCATTTTCTGGTGTATGTTTTCCTTTTCTAAATTTAAAATTCTGTATACATTTACACATCAACCTAAGATTAATGATAATAACAGTTAATAGTTTGTTTGTTTCACCCCTAAAACAATGTGCATATATCTATAATCATTGTCATTTTGTGAATGACAATTGAAAATGAAGAGAAACAAGTCATACAGTTCATGTAATGGGTACCATTGTAATTACTTGTTATTAATGAGACTAATATCTCAACCATTATTCACAAAAGTATTTATAAGGCAAAATCCCAGTTTTAATACATTGCATGTGTTACAATTTGTGGTTACTTTCATCAAAAGTATTTTGTTATGTATGAATCAGGTCCCAGATTTAGGTAGAGCTAAACACAGGAAAAACAGGGGAGAGAATATCTTTTGCTGTGAATATACAGTAAGCAATGCATAGAATGCTTTCTCAGAAGGACTCTCTCTCTCTCTCTCTCTCTCTCACACACACACACACACACACACACACACACACACACACACACACACACACACACACACACACACACCTACACCTTTTTTTTTCTCAGATACGTATAATGGAGTAGGACAGAGAAAGAAGATGGTATTCAAAGGATGGTGGCAGCAGTTTGGCCAGTTACTGTAAACAATTAAATACATATAGTGGACTTGACTTATTGATCAGCCCACCTTATCCAGGATGATGGCTTCCTCCTGTGCATTCAACAACCCACCTAAAAAGGATCATTACAGTGGGTACTGAGGAATATTCTTATTTCAGCATAAGCAAAATAATGAGTATTGCAAGGCCGTAAAAGTGTAAGATATACAAAAGTATTACAGAAGTTGATTACAGAAATCCTGACATTTCTCCTTCTCATATTTTACAGTTGCCATTAAATTTCAAAGGAGATTCACTGGCATTTTGATGATATTGTAATTATAAGCAAACAGTGACTATGATTAAAATTATGGAGCACAGTTAAATGTCTTTCTTTTGCTCCCTATGTCCTGCCCACCTTGATATTTCTTTTAATTCTTTTAATTTTGCTCCATCGTTTTCTTTATCCAATCTACATAGTTTTCCACTCGGGTATAGATCCCATAGGTGCCCTGAACCCCACAGTTGATGCCCCAGCTAACAATCCCAGCGGCCCAGTACTGGTCATTCTCTCGTAAGGCAAAAGCTCCTCCACTGTCTCCACTGCAGGTATCCCTGCCCCCCTCAGGGAACCCAGCACAGAACATGTTGTCAGTCAAACTGGGAACATCACTGCTGAGCTTTCTTTGACTGTCGATGGAGGCACCACACACGGTGTGATCCACCAGGGGGAGTCTCAGGTACTTGAGTATGTTGGAGATAGTATCGCTCTCTGTCAGGCCAAAACCTGAGACGAAGCTGTGGGAGAGAGAAGGAGTGCACTCAATGAATAATAAATTGTTCCACAGACAAAGAAAAAAGAACAAATAAATAATTTTCAGTTCTGTTACATTTAAAGACCATTACTTTTGCATTTTTAGTCATTCAGCAAACTGTTATATCCAGACTCACTTCCAAAATGGCATGCAAAAAGATTAGGTGAAGTGCAAAAACAATACAAAATCCTCAGTGTCACAACCAAGAGTAGAGTAGGAGTCACCACATAACAAATAGCATTTTACTAAGTGCCATAATTAGGTGCAATACATAATGGCCCATAAGTTTGGAGGGTTGCTTGAATGAAAATGCAATCTGAACGGGTGAGTTTTAAGTTATGCTGACAATGAACAGTGCCTTGGCGGTTCTGACCACGGATTAGACAAACCCACAGTAGCCAAGTTATTTGATTTTTGAAGATCTTGAGTAGCCTGCCTCAATGACTTCACATGTCAGCATACTTCTGTCTGGAATGGCTGTGCTGCCCTCCACTTTTTTATATTATTCACAGTATGAGTGGTTGTCCTGACAGTCACACTGCCTTTGATGTACTCACAATACAGATACACATTTACAGCATGTGTACCTTGCTGATGTACTTATGACACAAATACACATTTATAACACATGCTTACCCTACGGTCCCAGTTGTGTATTTAGCACCCTTTGGTGGCAGACACAGAGGCATGACATTGTGGTTGAATGTGATTGGCTGCTGTAGTTTGATGAGGGCAATGTCATGGTTGTAGCTTATTTCTTTACTGTTGTAATTAGGATGAGGGTGAAGGCTGGCAATGCTAAGCGGCTGAAATCTTAGGAGTTTCTGAATATCAATGTCTCCCACGTATGCCTTTCAAGAGGAGAGAGGGAGGGAGAGAGAGAGAGAGAGCCGGGAAGAGAGAAACACTCAGATGGAACACACAAACATTAAAACTTTTGTTAAGAAGGAGTCCAAGGTAGTAAACATAGCATTTACGTCTTTGTTTCATTAATAGTTTTTGTGACATTCATTTTGTGTACTGTTTATTTATCGTTATGTTTGGACACCGTTATATCTGCTTCTGTGTCTCTTTGTTTCCTTCTGCATCTCTTGTCCACTGTCTCACTCCCAGCCCTCAAACCCAGAAATTAAGACAGCGCTTTAGACTTTGCATAACAGCTTATCATTTGCACAACGCTCACAGTTACAAAATGTTGGCTTCCAAAAAACATCCTCATTCTGACATCGACTGTACTGTTTTTCTTACATTTAACTAGGAGGGCTTCTTTCAGCCTTGTTTAAACAGAAGGCTTAGGGCAGAGGCTGTAATACTTTTGGAACAATGTTGTAGTCATTCTGAATGACACATTCGAGCAAATATAAATATTTTCTTGATGCGTGTTAAATATTAAAATAATTTGTGGTAATAAAGATGAACGTGCACAATGTATTTTATACCTTCACTCTATCCATGGGGATGAGAGAGTTGCTTCTACCGTCAAACAGGTTGTGAGCTGCCGTGAGGAGCCACTGATCTCCAACGACAGCAGCTCCACCCCTGCTCCCAGTATGTAAGAAAACCTGCCAGGGAAATGCTCCTGCTGGTGCAGTTGCCCCCCCCAAGATCCTTTGAAGTTTCATTGTTGAAGCAGTGGGATGGCCACACACTGAGTGAGAGAGACAGAGACAGAGACAGAGAGAGTTTTTTATTGTTATTTCCTTGGATGAGGACTGCTTAGGGTTTGAGATGAATTAATAAATTAATTTTGGTTTTTGGTTTTTGTTTTTTTTTGTTTTTTTTTGGTTTGCCCCAACACAGAGCCTCATATCAAATACAGTAGCTTAACACCTTACACTAAGGGCAGAGGAACTATAATATGATTGGAAAAACATACTATCAACTATACTGACTCTTGAGTGTTACCTGGGAAACACTTGGGTATTATGTAATTGTTACGATGGTCCTTCCATTTCCTGTCTGCTGCACATGTGTAGTTCACTGAGAGAAGGAGCGAGTGAATGAGAGAAAACAAATGACCTAGCAGACACAGAAAATGAGATCGAGATACAGATGTAAGACAAATGTGCTGTGTAAGTCAGAAATGCACAATGACTTACCACTAACTCCGTCTACCAGGGAGTAGAACGGTTCATTACAGTGATATTCAATCACAGAGTGGTACTGGTTCTTAGTGCCAGACAGAAAGGAGACTCCTCCATTCAACAAGGGGGATGGGTCCCCACAGTCTATCACTGCAGGGGAGAGTGTGGGAGAGAAAAGAGAGAGAAAAGGTTAGGGGTTGGGGTTCAAATGCAAACAATTTATCAGAGGTGCATGAACTGGCAATATGAGTTTCTATTCGCGTGGATGGTTGCATCATATATAACAGAGGAAATCAGCAGGAGTAACATTGTTTTTTCATGCAGCATTCAGGGTAGCGGCATTGTTCACTGTGACTCACGGTGACACTCGGGAAGAGGAATGAGCCATTGGCCGTCACTCTGGCACACAGAGAAATAGCTCTGGATTTCTTTACCACCCTGGAAAGAGCACAGACAAAAAGACGGCTTCAGCCTTTGTACAGATAAAGTGAATTTTCCCCTTTGAATTACTGTTTGCTGTGAAGTTTTTCTGTGATTACTGGTGGGATTCAGCATGTAGATTATGAAATTATATGCGTGCTTTACCGCTTAGAAGTGCACATAGTGTGTCCGGTGTCTGCAAGTGACCACAAATGCTCTCATGTGTGCTTTACCAGCTGCTAGTGGATATGAAGGAGGAAATTCCTCCCATTCCTTTTTATCACCTTTTATCTGCAGTGAGGAACAACTACTAAAAGTAGCGTTTTTACAAAACAATTTACCAATAAGAAATGTTGGTTTCCTCTAAGCTGTTTTCTGTAGAACCACAGTAAAAAAAAAAAGAAGTAGCCAGAGAGCCATGGCAGAAGGATGCAATAAAAACAACATGAGCACCAAGTAAAAAATGTAAGATGGACACATGTGGGGGAAGAGGAATTTACTGAGCTCTGGCAAGAGCAGAAGGGATTATGTAATCCATTGGCAAGCACCAAAAAAAAGGAAGCACAATAAGCAAAAAGACATGGCAGGACTGCTCGACAGAAAGAGCTCATTTTGTGCATCAGGCACCATGTGAGGTGCTTTGCAGTCATATTGACAGCATTACTGATAGCATCACTGAGCAGTGCAGTGGGGCCTGCGCTAGTAGCCCACTTGTAAAGTATATCATGTTCACACACATGCTCTTTTGCATTTTTTTTCCACAATACATTACGTTATTATCATTTAGAAGACACTGTTACCCAGATTGACTGACAATTTGTATCTGTTAATACAGCTAAGGGAGTTGTGGGCTAAGTACCTTGCCCACAGGTACAGCACCAGTGCCCCAGCAGGAATTGCACCAGCGACCTTTCAGTTACGAGCCCTGCTCCTTACCACTACGCCACACTGGTGTCTGTTTCTTTTCTATTGCTTTTTCCCGTGTATGTGACCCTATTTTGTTGTACATTAGGCTTATGTTACTGTGAATGCCATCCTCTGATGTACTCGCAAGCAGCCACCAACTATTTTTCACACTGTGATGGAGTGGCACCCATTGGAGGATGGCATTATCCGGGTGGCTTGCAGGTGCCCAGCGGATTGCAGTGTGCCTGTGGCAGTGGCAGAGGGGGTGCCCTGGCCAACATGCCTGCCCCTGTCCCCAGTGGGAGAAGGTTAGTTTATTCCACTGCTGTGGGATCCCAGCCAGTTTTACATAGCGAGTTTTGGGCTGTGGAGCTAAGACGGCACTCAAAGCGAGCGCCTGCCCAGCTGAGACATTTGGAACCCCCTTACCACACACGCTTTAAAGGATTTTAGTGTGATTACTAGGCCGTAACAGAAGGGAAACAGTCTGATTGATTGACTGACAGCAACTCTCCATCCAATATTTACTTATTTATATTTAAATAATATTTATTGTGATTGTTTCGAAGTAAATAGTGGCATTTGCTCTCCTTGAATAAAATGCATACAAATTGTTGTTTTTGTGTTAATTCTTACCATCATCAGCTTGTAGCCAGTGTCACAGCGCACATGAATGTAGTCTCTGTACAGGTACTGAGGAAAGCTGGGGGTGACTTTTCCATTAGAGATTTTACCTGGAGACTCACACTGCACCCCTGATAAAAGAGCAAAATCATTCCTTAATCACAATGGTGGAGGTAAATAAAGAATTTGGCCAGAATAGCCAAGGACCTATCATTTTACTGTTCTGTTGTTTTTACCCCTTACATGACACAGGTGGCACAATGACAGTACATAGATTTTTGTTGTACTGTGCAAAAGGCACACCCAATATGGCCACCAGGAGTATTTTTCACTCATTCAACACTGTCTTTAGATGGACTCTGGACCATGGCTCATAGTAACCATCCATTAACATGAGAGCCTTATGGATCTGTTCTTAGGTGAGGTCATTGTCTCGTTAATTGGGATTGTTGTGTGACTGTTCTACTCTCCACATCACTGCAAACATTTCACCCATCCTCCTTCACTTTTCCTCTTTGCTTCTATCCCTTCCTTTCTCACTCCCTCTGTTTTGCCTTCTTTTTGTATGTCTTTCACCCCCACCCCAACCTCTTCCCCTCTCCCTCACTCTGTGTGGTATAATGCACTTTCCAGCCGCGGCTGAGCCCGGTAGAGTCAGTGCGGTACTCCAGCTGAACGGAGTTGGACTGGGTGGGAATCACTCCTGGACTCTCGTCCCCGCACAGCCTCATGGGCTCTCTTTCTGGGATGGACACCTGAGGAGTGAGAGAACAACAGAACACAAGGAATAAAGATAACTTAGCTCGTTTCTTAACATTCGTGGTTTTTCAATATTGTCATTACTTGTAACTGTACACACATAGGAAACACAAGAGTACTCTCTCTCTGTCACACACACACACACACACACACACACACACACACACACACACACACACACACACACACACACACACAGACATGCAATTCTGTGAAGAGCAGTACCTGGAGCCAGTGGTGGAGACAGTTTGAATCATCCGGTCCTGTGTCCTCTATGTGAAAAGGTTCCGTGAAGTTGAGAGTCACGGTGAACCCGAGCTCCACCGAGATGTGGTACTGACAGGACATGCCGAGTGGGGAGGGGAGGGGGTAGCCAGGACTTGTCAGAACTCCCTCAGCCTCAGTATAAAGACCACCTCCACAATGCACTGAGAGAGGCAATGAGAGAATGGTGCAGTTTATTCAGACTCACTGTCTCAACTTGACCATTCTAAGTATGACACATGAATTTTGAAAGGCTACATTCTCTTTGGATGTTAAGATGAAAGCACATAGAACCAAGTCACCCAAACACTGAGTAGCACTGTCATGGAACAGTGCCTCTTCAGTTTTTGTGAGGTAACGTGGGCCAAATTGTTTAATGTAACTTCCTTTAATGGCTTCATTTTGATCTCAGAAATGGTAGACCTGTTTTCATTTTGTTCACTGACTAAAGAATGTTGTTTCTTTTTTGCACATAAGAAACGTGACTTTTTTCACCTTGAAAGTTTTTGTGGTGATATCATTTGTCTTTGTATTGTACAGGTTTGAATGATACCATGCATATCAGCCGGTGCAGTATGATAGCTGGGAATGATCAGTTTTTCCAGTGAGTCATATAACATCTTCATCTTCATGTTTGTGAAAGGTGAGTCTTTGCATATCAGGACAGCGACTTACTTTTGTGTGTAAAATATATTCTGTCACATCTGTAATATGTTTTATATTTTGTTAAAATAATAGGTGAACTTAGTAAAAGCATAAACCTCCTTGGTAAATGGGGCAGGTATATATGTAGTCACTTGCGGTTTCCTGCCTGACGTGTGTGTACAGAAAGAAATTTAGAATTGTCGTCTAACTGTATGTTTCCACTATCATAGAGTTTCCATTTCCTTTACCGCAAGTCAAATTGACGTTCGGAGGTTTTACATCCCCACCTCCCAAAAATCAACCTATCAGGGCTAGGATTAAATTTTAAAGTGAAATTTTAATATATAAACAAACAAAGAACAAACCAGCTGGTCCTAATTCACTTCTTACATTTTCCCAAGCAAAATTATTGTTTGTTTTCTGATTACCCTGGTAACTGGGCAAGCTTCCCTGAAGTAATTATTCATAGAACTTCATGGATATGATTACCTTTTTGTCCTTGTTGGTTAAGAACTATGGACTTTAAATGACATCATCAGCTGGATTTGACTCCTCCCTCTTACCACTGATTGGCTCAAGCGCTGAGCTGAGGCAAACGCCACCCTCTGATACACTCACACATACACAACAGCTATTTTCTACCTGCATGTCACCTCATGTACCACGGTGAAATTGGTGTCAGATGCAGGATAGGCACAATTCCACCGATATCAATCACACAGCTTGCACGCCACAGCTTGTGAGGTTGTTCCTGAGAGGAGTGAGAGGAGGAAACCCTGCCTGACCTGCTCACCGATATCCCCAGTGATACAAAGTTAATTGGTCCCACAACCCTGGAGCACAACATGCCCCTGCCCACTCCCCTGGACTGAGCACCCCAAAATTTAAAATGCCACTTTAAAAGGTATAATTCTATTTACAAATTTACTTGCACTCTTCTGCCTGCCACTTTTTCCATTTAATGTCTTGTTATTTTGTCTGTGTATTGTCTTGTTATTTTGCCTATTTATTGTCTTGTGTATTTATTCATTGACTGAATGTAGCACCATGGGTCCCAGGGAAACGTTATTTCAACCCTACCGTATACTTGTATATGGATGGGCTGACAATAAGATCTCTCTTGACTCTTGACTCTTGCTGTGGAACCCCAGGCATTGTTTGAGGATGACATGGATTGTTTAGTGCCTGGACAAAGCCACTTGGGAAACCTCTACCTACCTACTTAGTAGCCAGTCAGCCTGCCTGCCTGCTAGCCAGGCTGCCTAAAGTGTCTGAAATAGCTTTGGTGTGTTTATGATTCAATACAATGTACATGAACATGCTGTAAAAGTACAGCATGATTTTATTTATTATTTGTATGCCTTACAGGACTTTAGCTAGCTAAAGTAGGTTTGTTATCACTTCCAAGCATGGACTCTGCATGAATAAAAGTAAGAAACATTTGCTTACTTTTGTGAGGGAATATTGCTATACTAGACTGACAGGTTGCTATGTGGGGAAATACAGGGATCTGATCTCTCCAAGTGGGGATTCCTGGTGGATTCAGGAAGGAAACATTAGCTAGCCAGCTGAGTAGTAAGAGTTTCTTATGAAATACAGGAACCCAAGCTGTCTGGCAGTATTAGGCTACTAAACGTCATACATGAGTTTAAAAGAAAAAAACTATCATATCTAGCAAGCTATATTGTATCACAGCAATGATAATAGTTGTGGGTGACCTTGCTGTGAGTACATCTTGCTTGCGCGCTTGCTGGTTGCTGGCTAGGTCACAAATTATTTTAAATACTGGAATACACAGAAGACTTCTGGCGCTGAAAGTAGTTCAGTAATCAATTTGGGGTCAGTAATCTGATCATAATGTGTTTCCATGGGCAGACTTGTAATTGGCTAAATTGAGCAGGTGTGACTATTGGCTGTGGAGAATCCGATGGTGTGAAGCTTATTTTGGAGTACTGGAGGATTTGTGATGGTCTAATGCAACAGGAAAATTAATGAGCAGAAGTAGCAGGTGAATAAAGCGAGAAGAAAGTTCAAATGGCCTAAATGTTGGTGCTGCATAGGTGTGGGGCAGGCTCAGTTCATTTTTAAGTTAGTGGATGGTGTATCTGCAGAACCCTTTCAAAATTTCCTCTGGGACCCCTACAAAATGGAAACTGAGTGGATTTCACCTTAATCTCTCTCTGCCCTCTTTTATTTTGGAACAGTACTTACATATGCAAGTGCGCTGGTCGGGCCTGAGCTCGTAGCCATGGCGACATGAACACAGGTAGGACCCCAGGGTGTTGTGGCAAATCTGAGAGCACAGGGGTCCAGAGCCATCATCCGGATCAGGCAAGGAGCACTCATCAATGTCTGCGTATAACACATACAGAGAGGTTACAGAGTGCCAGCTCTGAACATGACCGGACATAGTCCTGGCCCTCATAGCATACCTATGGCCTGATAGAAGGCGGAGAAGCCAATGTGCTGATGTGGCCCGGCGTTTGAGTCATCGGTATGAAAGATCACACGGAGGTGGTTGCCGGGAGACAGGATAGGTTGTCTGCCGGGGTGACGGCCTTCAGCAGAATTCTCCTGACCGCAGAATTTTCCCAGCACCTTCTGCTCATACATCACCTGCCGGCGAGAGAGACAGAACCAAGTTTACATTCAGTCACAGCAGTAACACAGAGACGGTCAGTGCTGACTCTTCTGATGCGCTCTGGTCAGTTCTGCTCAGTTTACCCACTGACCGTCACTGAGTCATAGTAGCAGT